CCGCGCGGGCGGAGCTCCGCCTCTGGCTGGAGCCTCAATGGCTTAGACCGCCCGCCTGCCCTCAAAATGCAACACCAAACGACCCCGCAGGCCCCCGCTGTCTTAGGGTAACCCCAGAGAAATATGTGACGCTGGAGCTAGGCGCAGCCAGCTCCTATATCTATGTTGATATGTAGGTATGTCTGTCTACCTGTCTGCCTGCCTGCCTGTCTGTCTGTCTGTGTGTCTGACTGCCTGTCTATATGTCTGTCTCCTGTCTGTATGTCAGTCTGCCGGTGTGCATACATGCATGCATGAATGTAAATACAGGTGTGTGTTGTATGTGTATGCACGTGTGTTTGTACGGATGTATGAATGCATATGAATGTATGGATGCATGCATGTGCATGTATGTATGCATGCACGTGTTTATGTGTGTATGCATGTATGTGGGTATGTAGGCATGCATGCATGCATACACGCATGCAAACATTTATGCTTGTATGCATGCATGCATGCATGCATGGTTGTATATAGGTGTGTGTATGTCCGTGTATGTGTATGCGTGTACGTATGAAGGTAAACAATCATGTATGTATGCATGTGCGTGTATGTAAGTACGTATGTATGTATACGTACCAACAGTTATGTTCGTGTGTTTGAGTGCATGTAAGTATGTATGTGTATGCATGTATGTATGTGCATACATGCATGCATGCAAGTATGTATGTGTGTATGCATGCATGTGCTTTTGTGTGGATGAATGCATGCATGTTTGTATGTATGTGGGTATGTGTGATTGTGTATATATAGATGTATGTGTGTATGGTTGTATGTGTGTAGGGGTGCATGTATGTATGAATGCAGGTTTGGGTGCATGCGTGTACGCCTACGTATGTCTGTAGGTATGCATGGATGCATGTAGGTAAGTAGGTATGCATGCATATATGCATGTGTGCGTATGTATGTATGCATACACGCATGTATGTACGCATGTGTGTACGAACGGACATACGTACGTTTGTACGTACGTATGGATGCATGCACGCAGGTGTACATGTAGGTAGCTGTGTGTAGCTGTTTGTATGGATGGCTGCATGCATGGATGCATACATGTTTGTATGGTTGCATATGCATGCGTGTATGCATGTATGTGTGTACGTGTGCATAGTGTTTATGTATGTGTGAATGTATGGATTGCTATATATGTGTATGTATGTTTGCATGTAAAGCACCCCCGGGCACGGGCACCCGGGCACCCGGGCACCCCATGGCACCCCCCGGGCACCAGGGCACCCCCGGACACAAACCTATCCTAACCATATGCATCCGCTAGGACCCCTACAGAGGCAAGCTCTGATTAGGGAATCTGTATTTGTCTGTATGTATACATGTATGGATGGATGTATACATGCCTTTTTCTATGCATACATGTAAATATGCATGTAGATAGGTAGGTAGGTAGGTACGTATGTAGGTATGCAGGTGTGTATGTGTGTATGTATGTATGTATGTATGTATGTATGTATGTATGTATGTATGTATGTATGTATGTATGTATGTATGTGTGTATATGTGTGTGTATGTATGTATGTATGTATGTATGTATGTATGTATGTATGTATGCATGGTTGTATGTATGTATGTATGTATGTATGTATGTATGTATGTATGTATGTATGTATGTATGTATGTATGTATGTATGTATGTATGCGAGCATGCATGCCTGTATTAGTTTCTCGCACGCCGCACGGGGTGCTGCAACAAGTAACGCCCTCTCCACTCTTCTGGGGGTCGGCGGAAGTGCGCAAGCCTCTCGAATAACGCCTCCCCAAAATTACAGGAGACGTGTCGGAAGGGCGGGCCAGGCGTTTCGCTTCAGGCCTCCTACCGCTGATGACCCTGAAGCTTACAAGATCCAAAAGCCACAACGATAGAGGGCGTGTGGCTTCCAAATGTGGCTCTCGTGTTGGCGCCGCTCGTCGTAAACGTCTCCAACTGCTACAAGGATGGAGATTGGATGCTCTCAAGATGCGGAGATCGCCACATCGCCGCGAAATGTCGTCTGTAAAGCGTCCAGCAGGTATGATGCCGAGTGGGTTATTTCATACATCATGGTCTTCGCCTTAGCGCCGCGTGCATGCGTTCAGGGATGGCTTGCGGTTTCTTTTCAAGATGAGGCTCTCGCTGGAGACTTCTTCGCCGACCCTTCGGTGTGTGTGTGTGTGAGACATTGTCGTCGTCTTCGTCATCGTCGTCGCCGCCAGTTCCAAGAGAAAAAGGAACGAACAGAGAAAAAAACACGTCGTAGTTAGGTCGATTATCTCCCCTGTTTTCCCCTCCCTGACTGGGAGGAGTACGGGGGGGAAGGGGGGGCGGGGGGGGGAGGGGTCAAGACACACCCTGGATAGCAAGCCGCCTAGCTCAATCCCACCCGCCCTTCCAACACATGAGTAACACCTGAGCCTGAGCATGTTCAGCGGTCGTCTTTGGATGGACAGCTGCTGGGAACCAAAACCGACTCCCTGTGCGCGACGCTGGGGCGAGGTGCGCCACGCGTGCCAGGTGTGCCATGCGCGCCAGGCACCCTTGGGGCACGAGCGCGCCAGGCACGGCTGGTGCGCCAAATGCGCCACGTGCTCCGCGTGCGCCAGGTATGCCGCATACTCCAGCCGCGCCAGGTGGACCACGTTCGAGGCACGTGCAGAGTGTGTCAGGTGCGCCTGCGCACGTGACAGCACACATCGGGAAACATGCAAGACCCCACCATCCTTGTCGAAAACCAATGTTCATTATTGTGTCTGGTGGGCCTGCGCACAGCAGGCCATACGCCACCACCCCCGCCGTCCCTGTCAAAAACCATATGACAGTGATCGTGGGGTGGCCGCGCATGACCCAGATTTAGCTGCGAGGTGCATGTTGTATTGTTTGTTGTCAGGGGTGGTAGCCCTGCGCACAGCAGGCAATATGCTGACACCCCCGCGGTCCCTTTCGAAAACAATGCATAGTGCTCGCGGGCCTCACGAACATGACTCAAGACCTTGCCCTAAAGTGTACTTTGTATCCGTTTTTGATAGGGATGGTGGGGGGGGCGCATCGGGTTGGCCGCGCATGCTCCACATGTGGAGGCAGAATGCGTTTTGCATTGTTTTTTGAAAGGGATGGTGGAGGGGGGGTGGGAGCATGGTTCCTGGTTGGCCACCAGTCGCCTGGGGGAGGGGGTGTATATTAATAGGGAACAATGATATGCGGGGGTGGGGGGGGCAAGGGGCGGGGTCCTGGGGCATACTACTTTCCCGCTCCAGGGTCCTGGCGGGTCCTGGGGGGGTTCTCCCCTGTCGACAAGGGGAGGAGGGGACCACCACTTCCAGGTGGGAACGCCAGCGGGGGCCCCGGGGGATGTCCCGCCTGTGGAGGGCGGAGGTGGTCCTGGGTCAGAATGAGTCCCCACGGGGGTCCTGGCAGGTCCCGAGGGGTGGCGCCAGCGGGGGTCCCGGTGGAGGTCTCGCCTGCGGGGCCGGCGGCACCGGCCGAATGGACTTCACAGTGGCCAGGAGTGCCAAACGATGTTCTCGATGGACACTTCCTTGAGCTGTATGAACCTACTCCAGATTTCGTAATAAAAGGGAGGGGGTCTGGACCCTCGAAGACAAGCCATTTCAGACCTCCCCCGTGGGAGAACCCTCCAAAACATCGTCCCCAGACCCCCCCAGGCCCTCCAAGATAGCCTGGAAGAGACCCCCCCCGAAATGAGACCTCCCTTTATTACGAAATCTGGAGTACCACTCCGCATTTTATGACTAAAACGATGCAGGACAAATCCTTTTCCAAACGAGGCTGTCGCCTGAATGACAGGCCCGAGCGGGCGGAAGGGGAGGCCGAGGCGAGCTTCAGAGAGAACTTGGGAGCGAGCCGAGGGGACAGTACTCCAGATTTCGTAATAAAGGGAGGGGGGTCTCATTTCAGGGGGGGTCTCTTCCAGGCTATCTTGGAGGGTCTGGGGAGGTCTGGGAACAATGTTTTGGAGGGTTCTCCCACGGGGGAGGTCTGAAATGGATTGTCTTGGAGGGTCCAGACCCCCTCCCTTTTACTACGAAATCTGGAGTAGCTTGTGGACGACGCCGCCCTCATGCTGAAAGGCGGCTGAGTGAGCTGAGCATGGGGAGAAAGGTGGAAGCATGACAAAGTGGAGGGAGCCCGG